TGAGCTAAAATTTTGTTTATATATCAGACACTGATCAGAGTTTCTTTTCCTAAATACGTAACTGCATAACGTTGTGTTTTGAGAGTTGAACAAAAGCGATTTTTGAAAAATTTCAGTCGAGTCCAGCTTCGGACCCGAAATCAGACATCAGCGACTCAGAATTTAAGGAACAAAATCGCTGGTCCTAGCTAACAAACTAGCCTATTTTGTTTTGTCACCTGCTAGTTTTCTCATGTTACGGAAAAAGTGCTGAAACCTCTATCTTGAATGTAAACAAAAAAAAGTCCTCCCACCGGACCCAGTCTGCACCGTACCAGTCCGTTAATATTTCGGGAACTCCGAACTTTCGAGAAACGGACCCCAGCCATCCGACGCGTTCCCAAAGGTAGAAACTGCAGAGGCCATGCGAATTAATGGATAAATGTTTACCTGCGATTTTAAAATTATCAGATACCTCGTCTGCCTCGTACAAGATGTACGCTGTCCGCCGTTTGAAACTTCATTTATTCTACGCTGACAATCAATCAATCTTCCTCCTAAGATAAAAGGACATATCTGGTGTAAGAATAAGTAAAACATACAGTATACAAATAATAGAAAGATTAAAGATTATCTCTGAAAATAAGGCTATTTACAAATACATTGTTAAATCTATCAGTCTTTATCTCCGGGCGATGAGCAGTTTTGTTTCTAAGGACCTGTTTACAAGGAGAGAGGGTTACCCTAGCAAGCGGATTAAAGTTAGCTCTAGTTTACAAGCAAATTTCACAGGCAGGGTTACCCTATCACACTAGCCTGCATGGCAGGCGTTCGAAAGGGAAGGGGAAGGAAATTAGGGCGCGAGACTGCGCGCGAAGGACCGCGCGCCCAAATTTCCCCTTCCCCTTCCGGCTACTATAACCGGTCAACTTTACCAGCTTTACTGACGTGTTTCGTCATGCGTGACATATTTTGTAACGGTCCAAAATTTGAAATAGTCTTGAAGTTCTCTACGGAAAACACGTTAAATTCACGAAAAAAAGGAAATATATAAACATTGTAGACAGAAAATAACTTTCTATTTCTCAGGAGTTTATGATTACGCTCCGAAATCGGACGATACAGTTCAAATTGGCACGATTACTGGTCACGCATGACAATCAATCAATCAATCAATCAATCTTTATTCTCCTAAGATAAAAAGACATACCGTAAAATTCCGAAAATAAGCCCCTCCAAATATAAGTCCCCCAAAATCGTCACGCCAAAAACTGTCCGTTAAATCGCCCCTCCAAATATAAGCCCCCCGGGGGGCTTGTACATGGAATTTGCTCTCGAATACAAAGTAAAACAAAGCAAAAATGGTAAATTTCCTTCCCACTACAAGCTAGCCCAATCGATTTTGGAGCGCAAATTTCCCTCCGTACGTAATACATAAGCCCCTCCGAATATAAGCCCCCTCAAAAAGGGCCTTTAAGAAATATAAGCCCCCGGGCTTCTTTTCGGAATTTTACGGTATCTTAAGTTACAACAGCAGATGAGAATCTTAAAATACAAAAGACATACTTTATAAAAATAAAAGAAAGATCAAAGATTATATCTAAATATTATCCTATTTACAAAAACATTCTTAAATCTATCAGTCTTTATTCTCGAATGTCCATTCTCTTAGATGTGTATTTCCTTTTAAAGCATCTAACCAGAAAGTTTTGTATGACCTTGAGATCTAAGTTTACAGCGCCATAAACAGGCAGACCATAAGTGAAATTCGGTAAAACTAAGGCGCTAAATAGGTGGTCTACTTCACCTTGACTGAAACCTTCCTTTCGTAAAGATCATCTTAATACAAACACATGATTTGTCTTAATCAACTTAGCACGTACATGTTCGCTATATTTACAATTCTCCTGAAGCGTAACACCTAAAATGGGCAGCTCCGTGCATTGCGAAATTACAAATCATACTATTGTCCTTAGACCAAAATAAAAGCTGATCCACAAACAGTCACGTGACAGACTTAAACTTCGTTAAAATCCTAGGTGCAACAATGTTCTCTGTTCGTTAATTATGACTGGTTTTCTTCTTGGTCGCGCTTCGTAACTGAGATAACGGATGCAATAAATTACGAATGCTAACATTTGTATCCGTCTTACAGTTCTTCACTAAACTATACTACCTCTGCTGCTCGAGGTAGGCTAGGATACAGGATTACATTTTCAGTATGTTATATCCAGCTATATCCGTATGTATAATTTTTCGGTCAGCATTAGATCTCATCGGCCGTAGCCCCTTTCTCCCCTTATGAAATTTACACAAGGTAGAACTATTTTCTGCTTTTATATCACACTTAGATGATGATATTTCAAGCTGGAAATGAAATGAAAGTGAAAGTCTCTTCAATTTGAAAGAAAAAAAAATTGATAGAAACAGCAGGATTCGAACCCACGACCCGGATGATCCAGTATCCTTTACTGCGCTAAAAAAAAAAGAACCTAACCAGTTTCAAAACAGTGTTTAACCCTAATCAGTAGAGGCAGTGCTTAATCGAGTGCTTAACCCTAATTAGTCAAGGGGAAGACTACGCTGTGTAAATTTCATGAGGTGTCCGAAGGGGCTACGGTCGATGGGATGTAATGATAACGTAATTTTTCCGCTTCGTGCACGTGAACGGAAAAGCATACTTAAGTGCATCGTCGCGCTTTGACCGCTCATTCCCCTCCTTGACTTGGCACGAGTGTGACCTACGAAAAGCACGCAAGAGCAAAGTTTTCTATATTAACGGGTTTTACGGATTCCACAGGTAATCAGTGAGAATTATTAATAACGAGTACTTTATATTTTAAGGTAAATTATTCAAATACTCCCTATTTTTACCACTCTTTCTTGTTGGTCCAAATTGATGGCTAGTCTAGATGCCGCAGTTGGACTAAAAAACTCACTTAATGCAGCGCTTATTTTTTGTTCTTAACATGAACACACACCTTAGACTAATGTTTTCAAAAATCTAAGAACCTCGATAAAGATTTATTTACATGTAAGATTTTTGTGTCGTCAGGAAAGGTAGACACTGCTTCTCCTTGACTGTGTACGTGGCGTACAGTCACGTGACAGGAAAACTCATTACTCACAGTTAGCGAGTATATTTGAGACTGATAAGTTAACAAATTTCTCATAGAATGCTTGAGAACATTCCCTGTTTTGATACTTTGGGTGGGAAGTTTCCCTCGGGGACTCGGAGAGACTTTTTTTTCCGTCAGGTTTTTGGAGTAAGACAGGAAATTCCATTTATTCTACAAGGCCTTTTAAAGGATATAAATACTTGCGACAAGGAAGGCTTAAAATGGAGCGCGACGTGCATGTATTAGACAAATGATAAACATGCAAATCAAATTTCTGATGTGTTTACATTTATGAAAGTGTACGAGCGTGATCGTGGCCCGTGAACAGAATATCAGACTATCTTTAGATTTCTGGTATAGACAAACAAGACTGTTTCAGTTTGGCAGATTGTTTGGCATAGTGAGCCTTAAATTTTCGTGGTTTCAAACTGAGAAAGTCATCGGATATACAAAAACATCAATTTCTCTTTAACCCTTAAAACCCTATTTCTCAATTCTTGCCCCTATTCATTTCCTTCAAATAAAAAGAAGTAGTGGAGAGAAGTTGATAAAATATCAAGCAAATTCATCTTGTGTGATCATATCCGTAAATCGTATGATCACTCTGTTTTACAAAGCATTGATATTACCGGAAAAACTTTGATGCTGATCACTCTTAGGGTTTAAAGGGTTAAGCCGGGTGAAGGAAACTCATCTCTGAGACCTCTTAACTCGTAGCATTTTTTCTGGCGCTTTCAAAACGGATGTTAGATTACTGTCACAGTAATCATCAATCGATCGATATTTTTAGCTGATTATGGTTTTCCTTTTCGCATACCGCAAAAAGGCATCAAAAACTCAAGTCTGTGTAAAGCAACCAAAGTTTTTTAAATTATTTAACACGTGAAATTTCTCACACTAGGAAGAGGAAATGGTTTGTAAAAAACTATAAGGAGGTTTAAGGAGCCAGGTTGAGTGAGTCGGGATAAAATAATATCATCCTCTAGAGGCTGTATTTATGTGCTCAAACATCAACGCTTTAGATAAAAGTGCAGATCCTCTTAATCACCGACACTTTCTTGTCTCATGATCTTACGAAGGAAGAAATCGAATCGATATTAGCGCGGAAGTCTTCACCTCGCCGATTTCCTTTTTTCGCCATTGATGGGAACAGACCTGCTATTACCCAAGGGATTTATTTCATACTTGATCATTGCTGACCAATTACATTCTAGCCAACCCTCAGTTCGGAAAACATACTTATACTTCAGTAAAGTGAATTGAAAACAAAAACGTGCATCTATTACTGATTGCAGTCCGTGTCAAAAAGACCTGTTACCAAACTGCACGTTGTTACAAAATGTCAAAAACTGTGCACTAGAATCGACCGTCTTCCCTCGTCTCTAATACACAGGAAGTTTTATTAAGTTTTATCGAGGGGAGTTTTTGTCAATATAAATTTCTTTGATGTCATCCGTCAGGAAATTCTGGGATAAACCTGTCACATTCCGGAAAAACGATATCGCTGTCGTTGTTAAGGAACGGATACACTGAGTCCTTGAGAGTCAGCAAACACGAATGCGATGTGTGGACTGACTGTAGATCACCGTAACTAAGCGAAGTCTTATTCTCCAGAAATACTTCTACCTTAATGTGTACTGGCCATGCCGCGGAGTTGTGTAGTGTGACCATTGCTTTCAGATGGTTTATTACAAAAAGATACAGGTCGGTTATGAATTTCATCAGGTATATTTGACCATGAGGCTCCGGTGTCATTACTCTGCCTCGCGTGCCACGGCCCGGGCCACGGCTTCCACCCGGTTACTACGGGTTAGGTTTAAACGATGATGGAAAACACGCACCCATACGAAACGAATTATCTTCTTTGTTTATATCTTCTTTATTACAGATATAGTTGCATGAATGGCTCCTCCTCTCTGTCAAGGCAACGATATTACAATCCGTGATAAGGTCCTTGATGGGGTCCACTGCAAGGAATGCCAATCGTGCCCGGTAGGGAAGGGGCTGTCAGTTAACTGCGGAGACGTCATTACCTCTGAAACACCTGTCAAATGCCAGCCTTGTGTACTAGGTGAAACCTATTCGAGTGCGAATGAACCTGGCGCATGCAAGATTTGCCACACTTGTGATGAATACCAAGAAACCATCAAAGCTTGTACACTGACATCAAACGCAGAGTGTGGCAACTGCACGCGAGGGGCCTACTTCGACAACACCGTGGGAAGGTGCGAGCCGTGCTCTCCTTGCTGTAACGATGGCAAAGATATATTAGAGCCCGGGTGTCAAGTCCCTGGAGTCGCGGCAAACACGCGGTGTACCTTTGCGCGATCTGAAAAGTGCAGCAAAGAAGCAACAGTGAGAAATGCAAGCATCAGCCCCTCGCCAACACAGCACCCGACTCCATCATCCACTGTCGGCATACCTTGGCCAACGACAACGCTTTCCACAACGAGGAATTTAGATGAACCGTCTGCTCTCAGTGCCTCAGATGACACTTCCTCTTACTGGATTGCCGCTGGTGCTGTTGGTGGTTTGCTTGTGTTTTTGATATGTTTGGCAATATTTTGCTACTGCCGAAAAAGGAAATACCAAGAGAGGGAAACTGGCTTATCCGCTGAGGAGATAGAACGTCTCGAACCAGGCCAAAGTAATGAAACGGAGACCAATGAGCAAGAACCTTTGCCTTTGGTTCCGCTCGCACTAGAGCCCTCGACGTCCCCTGTTGAGGAGACCGACCAAATTCCACTGTCGATACAAGATTCCCAGCTACCAGCCCGTATTGATACAACAGGTAACTTCGCTGTTTTATATAATCAGTAAAACCCAAGTCATTTCATAGACCAAAACTGATCAAATTACTGATTGCGCTATCATGTAATAAATAGAATAGACCGAGGGCAGCGTGTTCTTTTTCCCAGGCCTGTCAAGCGAGACGCTCGGGAGAAAGAACAAAAGACAATGCACGCGCGCGCAACTGGAGTCTGGAGAAGTGTGAAACAAAAAAGAATGTATCATTCACGCATGCTTCTTTACTAGGATTGAAAAAAAAAACGATGACTGCTTGCAGTGTGTTCAGTCAGGAGCCCATCAAATTTGATCAATTCGATGGGCTCCTGGTTCAGTCTGTTGGTGAAAAAATAATCATTTTTCAGCGGTCGTCTGTTATTTCCTTCAAACAACAAATGGAAAAAAAGTTTCAGTTATACAAGCGCAGGTTACTTATATTATAAGAAATACCTGGTCTTATTTAGCGGGTCAAAATCAAATTGTTTCCGCATGTGTAATCGATATCAGCTATAAAAAGGCGATCGTCGACCCCAGAGTGGATTTTTTCCGTAAAGAGATAAGTTAAAAAAAAGTTTCGAGAAACTTTATTCTAGAAGCAGCTGAGGCTTTTTAAGTTTTTAATTGACCAACTCTTTCTGTCATTTCTTTGTTTAGATTTCAAACCTTCCCAGGCGTATGTAGACCCTCCGGTTATCCCCTCCCTTGAAGACTACAAAGAGATCGGGGCAGCTCCCAGGAGGATTGCTGACGAGTCGGATTGAGTATGACGTTAAATCGTTTTTAGTAAAATCCAACTAGTGGTCTATTATCAATGCTGCGTTCTGATTGGTTGAGTTACTACTAGGCTATATGTTATAGCCCACTAGTACCGGCTTTTTGGCGGCAAAAAAGGATTAAAGTCCAGCTTTAACTAGCTATTTTTTTTTATTCTCGATGTTTTTGACGAACTACAGTTGAATTTTACTAAAACAATTATTCGTCTCGCCCTCACGGCCTCTGGGTCAAAAGCCCATTCGGTCTTCGGCCTCATGGGCTATTGACTCAGAGCCTATTCGGGCTCGAGGAATAATTGTTAAATATCTTCGGACTTTTCTTATAATACCCATCGCAGTCAATCATTTTGCCAAGGATGTCTTGAGTTGATTTTAATTTGTCTTAGAAAATATTACTGGAATGATAGTTTTGTTCTAAGAGAATATAATAATCTGAGGTGTTATACGGTCTATCACAAGTCAAAGATATTTTTATGTGTCCACCCGGACGTCAAGGCAGTTGAGATAATACACCGCAGACTCTTGATATTCGTTGACCAATGACACCAATGTTGGGTTCAGAGATGTACTTTCATCACTGAACCCTCCACCGAAACCAAATGTAGAGTGCCATTTTTTGCTGTTTATTGTCTCTTTCAAAAGGTCACTCAGGTCACCAGGCACATTCAAGACATATTTCATTGCTGTGCCTTTCACAGTTTCGATGATATCGGCTCTCATTTCTCTTTTTCTCCGCTCACATTGATTCTTGTATGGCATCATTGGCATCATGGGCTTTTGTGTTCCTCTATCAACCAGGGTCCTTACGAAATGACTTTCCTCTTCTTGCTGAATTGAGGTGGCAGTGTTTCCATCAGCAAGAACAAAATCGTCATCAAACGGCCCCATTGGATCAACCACTTCACAATTGTTGGGTCCTTCAGCTCCAACATGATCAATGACAGTAGTGGTACCTGTATCTTTGTTTTCATGCTGCTGTGAAACAATCTCCTGCATATAACAAAACGGAGAAACTGTCAGTGTAAATGCCATATTGCCTTCAAAAATGCAAGAGATCATCCAACCTCATTCAAACAAGTTTTTTTTTCAAGAATATAGTCCGTTCAAATAAGCACAGAACCAACTGTAAATTTATTATTGCCGAAAGGGAAACAAGACTATGCTGTCATAAACAATTGTGTATACCTTCCTATGTAATTATAACGCACTATAAAGCAAGGGAAATAAGTTTTCTGGTTACAGTTTCTGTCATGACGCACTTTAAAGCTGATCAAAAAACAAAAGACTGAGGAAACGACTTGCGAAAACAACTAAACTGAAAACTAAAATTATGATCAGAAAAGAAAGATTACAACAAGCTCATTGACCTACCTCGAGTTTTCGACACTTGAGTTCGACTTCCAGCCTAGATCGACACGACACACAAATCTTTCTTTTTCTCGTCTTCCTGTATTTCGAACCGAGACACTCTTCCAACCATCTGTTCTCTTCACGGTTGCACTGGCGCAACTGCTCGCTTCTCACTTCGCCATGCTTCCACTCGCGATGGAGAGGACAACAACACGAAGACTCGAACGGCATTTTAGGTGGATCCAGAGGCCACCACCGCCGATATTTACACTTATTTACAACTTATTTTCACAACTATATACACAATATACAAATCTATTCTACAGTTACAGCGAAAACTCAAATCGGTGCACAAGGAGACAATCCAGAACAGCGTTTTTCAAGATGGCTACCACGCGATGAAATTCGAGGCGCGAGGACAAAATCTCCGTAACTCTCTACGGCCACATACGAATTCGCTGAAGTTGGTCATAACAATAGATCGGAACCACTTCGTTCCATTTTTGGAGTCTTCGGAGCTGAAATCGCCCATTTTCGTAGAAAAATAGTTACAAAGAGGCACTCGACCAATCAGAAATTCGGATTTTAATTAAATAAGTCAATTAATGTTGGTCACCTAATCGCATTCCACGCATTCTTGAGCCGTTCGTGCTTTCCGCCGTAGGTGAAGCGTTACTTAANTCAAACAAGTTTTTTTTTCAAGAATATAGTCCGTTCAAATAAGCACAGAACCAACTGTAAATTTATTATTGCCGAAAGGGAAACAAGACTATGTTGTCATAAACAATTGTGTATACCTTCCTATGTAATTATAACGCACTATAAAGCAAGGGAAATAAGTTTTCTGGTTACAGTTTCTGTCATGACGCACTTTAAAGCTGATCAAAAAACAAAAGACTGAGGAAACGACTTGCGAAAACAACTAAACTGAAAACTAAAATTATGATCAGAAAAGAAAGATTACAACAAGCTCATTGACCTACCTCGAGTTTTCGACACTTGAGTTCGACTTCCAGCCTAGATCGACACGACACACAAATCTTTCTTTTTCTCGTCTTCCTGTATTTCGAACCGAGACACTCTTCCAACCATCTGTTCTCTTCACGGTTGCACTGGCGCAACTGCTCGCTTCTCACTTCGCCATGCTTCCACTCGCGATGGAGAGGACAACAACACGAAGACTCGAACGGCATTTTAGGTGGATCCAGAGGCCACCACCGCCGATATTTACACTTATTTACAACTTATTTTCACAACTATATACACAATATACAAATCTATTCTACAGTTACAGCGAAAACTCAAATCGGTGCACAAGGAGACAATCCAGAACAGCGTTTTTCAAGATGGCTACCACGCGATGAAATTCGAGGCGCGAGGACAAAATCTCCGTAACTCTCTACGGCCACATACGAATTCGCTGAAGTTGGTCATAACAATAGATCGGAACCACTTCGTTCCATTTTTGGAGTCTTCGGAGCTGAAATCGCCCATTTTCGTAGAAAAATAGTTACAAAGAGGCACTCGACCAATCAGAAATTCGGATTTTAATTAAATAAGTCAATTAATGTTGGTCACCTAATCGCATTCCACGCATTCTTGAGCCGTTCGTGCTTTCCGCCGTAGGTGAAGCGTTACTTAATTACAACCTTTGATATCCCATGGTTTCCTTCAATAGGTGCTCAGGTATGTTTTGTATTTTGCTTAGTCTTCCTGTTTTTTTTTTCTCTAAGAAAAAGAAAAAACCTCCTACGCAGACGTTCTTGTAAATATTATATATGAATATTAGATTAATTTGAAAGTTTATCCCATGTCGATCATTTGTTTTCGCTGTTTATCGCTTTGCTCAGTTTGGATTAGTCTGCCGTTTGCCTTCGCTAGGGTTCAGTCCTGCGCTTTAGATTATTATAGTTAACGCGCTCTCAACCAGACTTACATCGGAGCTAAACGGGAAAGTTGACGGGGGTCTCTTGGTCACCTTGTGATATATTTTAACACCTTCTTTTAAGAGGAAAGGGAAGATATCATGGTGGGGGAGGTAAATGATTTTACTGTGATTGATTAGAGCCTTTTGTTGGGTCGCCAAGAGAAGTTTGACTAGAATCTCGCAGGGAGTCCCTTGGTTTTTGTTCATCATGATCAGCGTTCTTATCAAAGAATTGCCTTCTTTTATATAAGAAAAGGAAGGTATGGAACGTCTCATTTACAAGCAAATGCTATTTAGTCAAGGGAGGTGTGCTTAATGTTTTTTCATGGGGGTGGGGGGCTCAGTGTCATGTTCGTTGACACTGAATCCCTCCTTCCCCCCCCTAGTTTTTTCCCCCCTTTACAAATGACGGCTGTATTGATGATCAATTTTTGCTTCCTAAACTAACTGAGCGGCTGCAGGATCCTGGCGGATATCAATATTTTGTGGTAGAAAAATAAGATCGCCTTACCATGAATCACGACAACTCGGATTCTGTAACAGTAGATATGATTCAGTAGAATCTTCGGCCTTGTCCACGTCGTTGGCACGGGTGTTGTGATAAATATAATTTATCTGTCCTTTTATCGACAAGCTGGCAACAAAACTCCGCTAGGCGCCTCTCTTTAATCACAAACAGACGAACAGTTTCCTCTAAGAGTGCTTCACCAGTTCGAATTACGTGAAGTAACACTTTGAAATTTTCTCATTACTCTGTTTTAGAAACGAGCACACCAAGTGACAACCAACCGTTTAAAGTTGGGAGTTATTCTGGCGGGTGAAAGAATAACTTAGCCCCGGGGGTACTCAAATACAATTTTATACGGGGAGGCTCCGCCCGGAGGCCCAACCCTTAACCTTTCATATACCATTTTTGACAGAAGGTGCTTCTTTCGCACCTATTGACAAATAAAACACCTTTCACATACCTAGCCGTTAGGACACTGCGTCCCTTTCAGCTGCTGTAAATTCACTGTTTTTAAATGTGATTCAATTACTAAACCAGGAGGTTTCTTGACTTTTCACAGCCACAGAATGCATCTGTCCGCCCTTTTTAGTTTCGTTGTTTTTTTTACCAACTAAAATGAAAGATTTCCCTTTCCTTTCATATACTTCAATTACTGAAATCCCTACAGAACCTTTTTATATACCTGAAGCTTTAAGAAGGTATTCTTTCGGGCGAAGTCTCGACTTATAGGCCAGTATAGGGAGTACCCCCCCGGGAAGTGGGCCGGCCGCAGAAGGCTCTGGATCAGGGCGGATAAAGGTTGGGCGGTGAAACGAGCGCGTCCGAGCAAAAAGGTGTGATGCAGTGGACTGGGACTCTGCTTAGGAATGTCGATTGTTTTCGACTTCGGTCAGGGCTTGCGATGTGGTTTTTACGATAGACACAGGGGCACCCAACGACAATTTTCGGAAAATTATCTGTTCGGAAGACGATTTGAGATCTAGAATTTTCGGATCATTTTCTCTAAAATTTCTTGCTTGCCTGCCTCTCCTAGGATTTTCGAACATCAAAAAGTGGTATAATTGCCCATTTTTAACGGATTTTTACCCTAAAAAGGTCACCTAGAATTTTCGGGAGCCTTTTTTCTGGCTGAAATTTTCGAAAAGGTAAATTTTGATCCCTATAATTTTCGGATCACTATACTTTCAGCTAGGAAATCCGAACAGATGAAAATTTTTTAGGCGATAAAAATAAGCCTTTATCTACCGTTTAGAT